TTTTACGTAATTCTTTAAAAATGTTCTAACATTTTCTTAACAATTAAATTCTTGACTCCTAGTCCTACAATATAGAAACAGAGAGATTCAAAATTGTAGTAACTGTCTCTACCAACAATAGTCCTTCTTTTCCCCCTTGCTTCCTTCTCTTTCTTTTTGTGTGCAGATCTAGCATTGAACTTTAAGAACTGAGTCCATACTTCTTAATTATTACAAGTTCACAGGTATAGTTCAACAATTTCACTTCACTAGCACCTGTATTAGAGTGCTAATTACTGAAGTCAGAGTGAGAAGAGACCTTGATGGATCTAGCCCGACACTTGTGTTTGACAGGTTTAGGCTGCTGAACAGCAAGGTGAGGAAGATGACAGACCCCATGCCAAATAGCTGTTGGCGGAATGACATCTGGAGCTCCAGTCCCCTACGTTCTAATCTAAACTTATTTTTTTGCTCTATAATATAGGCAAGTTTGGATTGGTAAAACTTGGGCAGGCAGAGCCAGCCAGAGTCCACTGTAATGCAGAGCTCACCAAATGCAGCATCACCCTTTTTTGTTTAAAGGCTTTGAAAATCATCCACAATGTTGTCATAATCTTTCTCCCTTTCTTAATTCAGCGGTAAACGTGGGAGAGCTTCCCACTGAGTAGAGTGAACTCTCAGGGTAGAATATCTGTTCATCACACGTGACGAATTTTAGCATCTCGAGCTGTCAGGTAGCTCAGCGCCCCACGGAATGAAGACTTAGACCCCCACAAACAGAGCCCAGCTAAGGAGCCACTCCCCAGAACAGCCCCATGGCCAGCTATGGTTTGCAAAGAAACACAGGTCCGCACCACCTTGGAAAATGTGCTTTATGTTGCCTGTAGGTGCATTGGTAGGTTTCTCTCCTAAGTACATCAGGGAAGTTTCCAACTGCTCAGCCTCACTTGCCAGCATCCCTAGTGTAAGTGTGAACAGCGTAGTCACTGTGGGGCTGGCTGAGCTAGTGTCTACACCTCTAGCCTGGACCCTGGCAGTGACATGGAGCAGAATCGACAATTTAACAGTCATTGTGAAGTTGCACTTTACTCTTACCACTGTGAGTTGAAGAGGGATATCAGGTCAGGCATTATTGTGTGATGAAACCGCTGACTCAGTTCTGGATTATTTACCCAGCAGGGGGCTTATCCTTTGCAAGTTGAGAGTCTGGATTCTGATGGGGTATTTTCTATTTGTGTTTCTCCTATAAGCGATTGCTCCCCTTAGCCCTCATTTTTTTCATCTGAAAAACAGAACTTAAAGACAAAGGGAGGGCAGGCTTATGGTGCTTGCTATATGAACATGTTATTGGTTGATTTTTCCTGGTAGGATCTGTTGATGACTTCTTAAATGTTCAAAATGGTATGTGTGTCCAATTCTGCAGGTGGACTCATCTGTCTGCTATAAAAGATACTACGATGAGAAGGTACTCAGATGAGCCACGGAATAATCTCAAAGAGGGTAATATTAAGTGTTCTCTGCCTTTTTCCCTCTCTCCCTCACTTCGGATCTTCCCCAGACTTTTAACAACCAAAGTGGATCCCAAGTGGCTGGGTGATCAAGTGGGAGGCCCCTGAGGTCCTATTTATCTCTTTCAGATATCCGTGCAGAGGGAGTCTTAGGTGTCATTATCAGATTATGACTTTGAAAAGACAGCCTAAGAACTAATCAGGTTCATGTGAAATTGCCCCAAAAATAGGAGCCAAAAAAAGAGACTAGCTTTGATTCTTTGATTGGCCCATTTATAGATTGATTTTTTGACTTATATTCTATATAAGATATCAAATTAAAATACCCAAGTCATTTTGGGTTTGAGACATTCCACAAGCCCTGAAGAAGTTAACAGTCAAAAAAGAGATGAATCTCACCCTTACTAATTGAGGAGGAACTATAACCAATCACTTCTTAGGACATAATTATACCAACAAAGACAGGGCAAGTGCTTTTCTGAGGTAGTGAAGGTGATTGCCATCACAGACCCTAATGAACGGAGTCCTGACCGATCACTGCACAGGCATCTCATCAACGGATGAAGCCAAAGTGAGCATCTGTGTAACAGTAAAGGCTGTGGCCATCAGATACCTTTAGAATTTTGAGAGCCCTGGAGAGCTTCAATGATGAATAAACTTTATTCAAAGTGGTTATGCAACATTCTTAAGGTTCTAAAGAAAATTTTGCAAATGTTACTCAAATTTAGAACACAGAGGCATTTCGACTTGGATAAAAAACAAGTCAATTAAACCAAAACTCATTTCACTCCTTTTCCAATACCTATTTCTTGAATTCCCTCTAATATATGTATATATACATATATATGCATATAATTTTTGTAAAAAGAAAAGTGATAACACATAAAAAACAATTCTGTTCTACTTTATTCATGCATATATTATTTCTCTCAAAATGCTTATATAGTTTTTACCTTGTGCCAGGCACCACCCCAAGTCTTTTCCAAAAATGGAATCTTATAATCCACACAACATCTGGATGAATTGGACATCACCATTATCCCTCCTTTAGACATGAGGAGGTGAGTCATGGAAGGGTTGTATAACCTGCCCAAGTTCACGGAGTTAGGAATAGTTTTTTCCCAAGAGTTTTGTCAGACTTTGACGTAGGGAGATATTCCTCCATTCTTTCTCATTACCAAATCATATCTGCTAACACCATTTATTCTGTTCATGCCCTTCTACGATCTGGGAGAGAAGGTAGCACTTCCATCAGATTGCCTTCATCTTTCTAGGTGGATACTTTCTAATGGTTTCTGCTGCTTGTGTAGCCTCAATTTCTCACTGTAGACATCCTCATGAGATTTTAGGTTTTCTAATAAATGAACAATTAAGTAAGACAGGTGACTCGCAGTTGCAGAAGATATATAAAAAAAAAAACTTCATTGTGGAAGGAAAAGTAAACTTGTTAGTTAATTGTTGTAATCAGTTATCTCAGCAAGTACAATTTCAAAAAATGTCTCATTCCCCTCTTTCTGACTCATCTTTTGTATGAAATCTTTGGGTGCAGTAACCCATTGGCTTTTTATTCTGGAAACCTCAATTACCTATCATCAAGCCAACCAAATCATGGAGAGTGCTGAACTCTGTTCTCAGATTGGTTATACCACAAGCAACACACCTTTAAATGTAGCATTAAGTTAACTTGGTTATTTCTATAGAAAAAATGCCAAGTCATTCATAATGGAAGAGTTATTGAAGAACTAGAGCTTTCAGTCTATAATAATAATGCTCAGATTGGCAATTAAACTGCCAGTTTTTTGAGCACTGACTATGTTCTAGGCACTATGCTTTGCAGTTTATTTAGACTAACTCATTAATGGCCACCATCATTATGTATCAAATATGGTTGAATTTATCTATGGGGAAATCAGAGCCTAAAGAGTTAAATGAAACTTCCCAAGTCATACAGCCAATATGTGATAGAACAATCTTCAGTTCTCTCTGTCACCCGGCTCATATGCATCAAGATCTTCTGACATTAGTTTTACTTGATTGGACACATCTAACTAGCAAAGGGAGCATAGGTACATTATCTGAGGACCTCACCTTAATAATCATGGGATTGGGCCTCCCTCGTGGTGCAATGTCGATCCCTGGCCAGGGAGCTACCCACATGGTGCAGCAGACCTCTCCTGATTCACCTGCTGCTCCCTTCAGCAGAGTATTTCAGTAGATCTGCCTGTTCTGTTCCCCACTCTGTCTCTGGTGAATCCTCTCACACCCCACACCTCTGGCCCAGTCCTTGTATGCATAAATAAATAAATCTTTAAAAAAAAAAAGAATCACGGGATCATGATTCATTGGTACTTTATTGCACACTCTCTGCTCTTACCTTCATTTCTAACAATGATTACTCCCCAAATTGACAAATCCAAAGGAAATAAACCACATTCTCATACTCCCTGATTTTTGGCAGGTGCATCATATAGATTCACCTCACCCCAATCAGGAACTACACCTTAAAATCTGTAGTAAAACCAATTGTATTTTGAGCTAGGAAAGAATAAAACATATTTCCTCTCTGAAATATTTTGTGCCTCACACTCTGGTGTGCCCAAGTCATTTATTGTCATGAACCAATCTTAGCATAATGCAAAGGAAGGATGTGGTTATTATAAAATAACTACTCCCCTGGTGATTACAGACACTTGGCGATATGTTGTTCCTTATGCTCTCCCAGGGGGATGATTATTTGTCTCTGATGGTGTTGGAGGCATACTGAGAGTACTCACACATCCCTTCCAAACTGGAGCCACTTGCTAATAGAGGAGGTTAATCTACATGGCTTTCCAGCTAATCACCCTGGCATCTGCCTGCTCACGTGGCAACCGGCACTTTCAGTAGAATAGGTTAAACTGTGAAAATAACACTGACTCACTCAGAGCTAGACAGGTCTGCAAAGGATAAATGGGGGGTGCAGCACTTCCATGGAGAACTCTTAAAAGATCAAAACGTGTTCTTTGCTTCATTCATTGGGACCTGATTTTTCAAGAGGCAACAGGAAAACAACATGGAACCATATCCAGTATACTTGGCAGGACTTATTGCCAATTGAAATTATCAGAACAGTCCCTGATATCCTGTTATTCACAACAACACCAGCATCCTGACATTTACCAAGCACTAATCTCACCTGGCACATGCCTGGGGGTACCACGTACAAATAAATGACCCACTATCTTCTGGAAGTTTTATCCTATCCAAGACTCAGTACAGAAGTGCCAGATCCTTTAACATTAGGATGGCAATATATTATTTATGTTTGAAAATGAACTTGTTCTATCTTGCAAGTCTAAGTGCTGCAAAGATACTGTTGTGTAACAGACATTTTCTCAGAAATTCTTCCTTAGGAAAACCAAGCAAATTGACTATAACAAGAGGACCCAACTCACCGTGATTCAGCATTTTATGCAGTGAAAACGAAGTGTAGAGAAATCAGTATTCACTCCAGGAGCTAGTGAGAAAACTCACCTTGTGTCACTGAAGAGAGTATATGCAGAACCAGCTTATGAAGTCAACTTGTGTAACACTACGTGATGATTTGTCTGAGGAAAGCCAAAAATTGCAAGTCAGAGGGCCAATGTTTCCCAATCAAAAACAAATGCTAAGACACACTCAACTTTCATTTGCATGGGGATTACACGTGATTTGTTCTGTCAATCTACTCTTCCCTTCATTGCAAATGGCAGCAGTGATTAATCACCCAAAAAAGTGTGCAAGTGTGTTCACTCTCAGCATATTTGTGATCAGTTTTATATCATAGACAGTCAGAAGCTACTTTCTACTAGTGAGACAAAATTCCTGGCCCTAATGCCATAGGCATCGTCATAGCCAAGTGTCTGGGACACTGAAATCCATCTTCCATTTTTACCACGATGCTATCAAGGTCATTGTCACCATGGAAATAACTAAAGAGGCAGGATTGCTTACAAGTTACTCTTGGCAGGGAAAAAGTAAGCTGCAGTCAATGCTCTTTGTCAGGAGGGTGGGCAGAGAGGAGGGTGAGGGAGTTCACTGTGCCAGGTCAGAGTGGGCATTGGTTTTGCAGGATGTTGGCAAGAGTTTCAGGATAACCCTGAATGGCAGGCAGAGTTGGAGCAAAAACCCTGGAATATATGGAGGTTCTCCTTAAGTTGTGCCTGTCTAATTATGCTTTTAGGCTTATTAACCATTTTATTCCTTATCTAAATCACTCAGATCACCAGAGCCACAACTCTTCATAAAGTTAGGCATTATTAACCCTCCCTCTGCAGGATAATATCCATCCCTGATGCTCTTCCCACCTGCCTGGATCTTAAGCAGGGATGTGCAGGGACCTCTAAAATGGTGGAGTTGGAATGAACGCACCTGGACTATGATCATTCCCTCCAGTTTCAGCTTTGGAAAACTGGCACCCTACTTCTTACCTGAGAACAGTGCTTCCTCAAGAAGTAACCCTTATCACTATTGCTCATGATCCACAAAAAGAGACTAAATGTCAGTACCTTCCCCTGATACAACCTCCAAATAAAGATGACTTTCATTTGGGACCAAACGCTAAGAATATCCGGATCTGCTCAGAGCCATCACTAATTGTTCCTATTTTTCATCTGGAGAGCTTGGCAGGTCTGTGACATTATAGCAAAAGTCTTCCCACTAGGACCTTGCCAATTTCAGATTTAATTCCATCAGTAAACAACTTTGACTGTGTTGGGAAAATTCCATTAATCATTCATGTGCCGCGAAGAATGATACACAAAGGAGCTGTCAGCACCAGGCAGCAACTTTCCATTTGTTTGGTAATTAAGAACTCCAGGCCACCTAATGGTGCTGAGATGCAAATTCATTGCTGGTTGGAGCCACTGGAATGAGCTGAAAAGAATTCACTTGCACTTAAACCCCTAATGTCCAGTGATTTGATGGATTTGCCCAGCTCCTGCTAGGTGAACTGCAAGCAAGATCGTGTTGCTTCTAGATGAAATGATGCACTTTGGAAAAGCCCCGAGCTTCTTTCAAAAAGATTCAGATTCTTTCGGACACATACTTCCAAAAAAATCTGTTTCTGAGATAGGTTTTGATTACAAAGACATAACATATATTTTTCTTGAACTCTTCCATCACCCATATATAATGAATTGCGATTTGATTTAAAATTTGATTGGGATCTTATTTCCCTCTATAGGGACCCTAAAATTTAGCAGAACTGGGATCCAGGAAACTTTAGCATTGAGAATCTTCCATGTAACAGAGCATATGTGTGTGTGTGTTTTATATATATATATATATATATATATATATATATATATATTTTTTTTTTTTTTTTAATCTGAGTTGTGTACTACTACATCTATACTGCAATACCAGGGCTAGCTTGATACTTAAAATTTCCTAGGAATGCATCCAGGGCATTTGTAGAGGTGTGAAACAGATCTTCTGGTAGAGCAGAGATGGCTAGTAGGTCCCTATCAGTCTCCTACACCATCAGACAAAAACAGCCACACTGTCACACTTAGGAATCTAGACGATAGTCCAATGGTTGGGAGACCCTACCACAATTCACTGTCCTTGTCATTCTCCTTCCTGTCATCAAAGTGTCCACTTGAAATGTCCTTGTATCACAAGGAGTTGATGGGAGAAAGACAAACCAGGTAAATGTCCCATATTTATGGCAAAAAAAAAGGAGACATGGGCCCCGCCCCTTCCACTATCCGGCCTTGGTCTCCTGAAGGGCACTCAACTCTCCCCAGGAGGAAACAAAACTGTGCAAGATCCCCAGGGACTCTAAACAAATGCACTTCAACTAGAAGCTTCTCTACTTTTGGATTTCAAGTGGGGCCTCTGACTTCTCTTTAAGCAAAATATTTTCTTAAGATGTACAGGAAAACATCAACTCTAATGGAGATTTGATAGAAGGCATTTCTTTAAAAAATGCAATAGTATATGGAAATTTATATGGTAGTCCCTTAATATTCATTTATTTCTTTAGTTGGGGAGTAGTGTGCTTTGCATTTAATAGTCTTTCTCAGATACTTCTTCCCAGCATTTTGCTAATTTTATGGCCTCAACAATAAGAAAACATCCTGAAAGGATCATATAAGAAACAATTTGTTTTCTCTGTGGTCTCTTCTCCGGTTAGAGACATAATCAGTTATGCCCCAAAACAAGTTTAATACCAAACATAACAGTAGCAAATAATATTGCCCTCTGCTCACATCTTTCTTTTCACACAAAAGGTGCTTAGATGAATGCATGATATTCCATTATACACTTGAACTATTTTAAGGCATTTTTCTGTTTCCTTAAATACACAGGCTGCCTTGACTATGCACATTTAAATTTCTACTTTGCCTTTAGAGATACAAAAAAGGTCAAACAAATAACAAATTGTAGTATTTATGTGTCTCCAATACCACATTTGTGATTTCTTTTTAGAATAAAATACAGCACTTCAGTGATATTTTCGCTCCAGGGGAAGTCCTCACGTGTTCAACTCACACAAATTGATGATTTGTGTGTGAACATTTTGGGAGCGTATGTGATGGTTGGAAACAGTAAAGCTATTAAGTTAAAAACATTGTGACTCAATTTCTCCCTTAACTTTCAACAGAGCTCTCAGCCACTGCGAGCAGGATGGGGCCTGGGAAGAGAACAAGGAGATGAAAAGGACACCCTGCCCCCCACCCCCCAATAAACCCATCCTCACTGCCCTTCCACCCCTGTAAACAGAATTCCTTGTTTCTAAATCCAGTTTAGCCTCCGGTAACTTGACCATCAGAATGTCAGACGCTCCTGTCTTTTCAACTTTTTCTCAACCCACACTCCATGTTCTTCCAACCCGCCTCCCCACTTCCAAGACTTCAGGGCCTGATTCCTGCACGAACTTATCTGGCATCTCTTCTTTTTGTGCTCAACCAAGAACCCTGTAGATACTCCTCCCATACATCATCAAGGCCACAGCATCCACTTCCTCACACCCTCCACCTCCTGTTTTTTTTTTTTTTTTAATAATCTTTTTTTTTAAGATTTATTTTTATACAAGAGCTGGGGTTACAGGCCAGAGGCACAGGAGAGTGAGAGGATTCACCAGAGACAGCAGGGAGCAGAACAGGCAGATGATGGAAACACACTGCTGAGGGGAGCAGCAGGTGCAACAGGAGAGGTCTGCCGCGCCATGTGGGAATCTCCCTGGACGGCTGGGATCGAACCCACACTGTCGAGGCTGCGGACAGCTTCATAGCACGGCGCTCAGCCCTCTGCACCACCGGGGAAACCCCCACCTCCTATTTTTATAATTATTATCATCATCCTGTTTTTGTAAACTTTAGTTCAAGAGACCAAAGAGAGGAAGGCATTCTTTGCCTCCTGTCTTTCCCTCACACTTCGCTCTCCAAATCTGTCCTGCCCATGAATTAGGTTTCTTTTCCCCAACATCTTTCAAGGTGACTGACTGTAGCTTCCAGAAGCTTCCATCTCAGTAAATTGTTATTCACCAACCACTTTGAAATATTCAGTACAACAGGATGCAAAAAGTAAAGTGTCTGCTGGTGAACACATATTGAAAACATGTGGCTACGATAGAAACCTAAATCTCTCAGTCCCATTTATGGTACAAAAGGCAGCATTTCATTTTCAGGTGGAAAAGTTTTCCACTATTTCCTTCCTCAAATTCCCAGTTCCATCAAAGCAAAGGATGAACAATTTTCCTAGACAAGCAAAATATAAAATATTGCAGCAATCTCAATGTAGATAAATGTGTGAACTTATAGGACATTTGGAAAAATGGTTGACTGTGTTAAACACTTGAAGTTTCTGATAATTTGAAAAATTCTGGGCATAGTAAAGTGCTGGCATACAGCAGATTGCCACAGTAAATATGGTTCAGTTTTTTAAAGATACTGTAAAATCTTCATAAAATATAGAGAAAATAAAATGTTCATAAAATGAATAAAGGTGATTTGTTTTTCATTTTGACCATTTTCAAGTGTCCAATGCAGAGGTGTTGGGCATGTGCACATCGTTGTACAACTGATGTCCAGAAATATTTCATCCTGTAGAACAGAAACTCTGCCCATTAAGCAACATTTCCCACCCTTTTCCCCCTTAGCTGCCAGCAGCCACCACTATAATTTCTATTTCTAATTCTATGAATTTGACTACCAATTAACTCATATTAGCAGAACCCGACGGTATTTGTCTTTTTTTGTGAACCCCTCAGCACAATGTCCTCAAGCTTATTGATTATATAGCATGTATCAGTATCACAATCACTTCCCTATTAATGCTGAATAAAAGTGCATTGTTCAGCTGCCCCACCTTTTACCCATTTTCCATCAGTGGGGTACTTGGACTGCTTTCACCTCTTGAAACTTGTAAGTAATGTGTCAATGAACACATATTGCTACAGGACTCTGCTTTCACTTTTTGGGGGGTAACTACCCAGAAGTGGAATTGCTGGATCATAAGGTGATTCCATTTTTAATTTTTCATACTGATTGTCATAGAAGCTGCACCATTTTATTATCACTATGCATTACTCAGCTGGAGCCACCACTAAAATATGCCATCAAGTGGGTGGCTTGACAAACCAAAATTTAAGTTTTCTTGGTTCTGGAGGTTGGGAAGGCCACTACATAGTTGTCAGCCCATCAGGTTTCTGGTGAGAGTTCTCTTCCCCGCTGTGGACAGCTACCCTGTCTCTGTATCTTCACATGATGGAGAGAGAGAGAGGGAGGATGGAAAGAAGTGAAGGAGGAAGGTAGGAAGGCAGGGAGAAAAGAGAGAATTTTCTTCTTTTTATAAGACCTGCTGTCTATTGGATTGAGAACCCACGCTTATGGCTTCATTTAACCTAATACATCCTAAAAGCCCTAGCTTCAAATGCAACTGCCTTGGACATTAAAGCTTCCACATATGCATTTGAGGGGGACACAACTCAGTTGACAGCATCTATGAGTTCATTCTGCTTCTTGTTGATTTGACATACCTTTGGTTACAATTCTGTTCAGTGGCGGGTGGCCAAAGGTGGGGAAAGACAACATATAAAATCAAATGTATGATAATCTATATAGCATCAATAATAAGATAATTGAATAACATAGAAAAGTTGTCTCATAGCTATAGAAAATGCCCTGCTTGAAGTGGAGCTGGCTTGGTTACCATGTTTTGATCAACACTGATTTCCTCCTTCTTTTCACTAAGTAAGAAAATATTACATCACAATTATAAATTCTCAGTAATGGCAGCAAATATTTGGTAGTATCTGTTAGATGATTCTGAGTATTTAGATCTACATATTCCAAATTATAAAGATATTTCTCATTAAAGATTCCTTTTAGCCCATTGGATCCATGACCCCCTCATCAGACAGTCAAAAGCTGGAATTTGGCGCAACAGACTACCCCTGTTTTGCCCGCTGCTCCCCTCAGCAGTGTACTTCGTCAGTCTGCCTGTTCTGTTCCCTGCTCTGGCTCTGGTGAATTCTCTCACTCTCCCGCGCTTCTGACTGTACCCAGTGCTTGTATAAATAAATAAATAAATCTTAAAAAAAAAAAGCTGGAATAGGAGCTGAAAACTTTGGTTCTTAAATCTTCTCTTATTGCACCCAGTTCTGGAAAATATTTCTTCATGTGTGTTGCAGGGTATGAAAATATTTCCTTTTAACTTCCTCAATATCTCTTCAGTTCATTTTTCTCAAAAGTGGTGAATATCAAGTTTCCTTACAGAATTCTAACATTTACTTTTTATCCAAAATTAATAATCATCCTATTAATAACCTATAATTACATTCAAACTTCTCAAAATAACAACTAAGATGTGTCATTTGAACATATCACTGGAAATCACAGTCTTTTTGGTTTGGTGTCATAGAACAATTATTTTTTATATAATTTCTCAATTAAAGAAAACTGAGTGAAAATGTTTCATTTACACAGGTAGAATATCTCCCTTCTCAGAATCTCGCATTCTGAGCTCACTAAAAATTCTGTCCTCTAGATTGTTGAAGAGGCCTCCCCGTGGTCTTAATATTATCGTGTTAACTTTTTGTAGCACCTTTTTCTTTTTTGGGGGGGGACCCTCGCCGGTGGCCGGGGAATCAACTTGTGCTGCAGAGGCTGTGGGCAGCCTCACAGCCCAGTGTTCAACTGCTGCGCCACCAGGGGAGGCCCTTCATAGCACCTTTTTTAAAAGATTTATTTATTTATGCGTACAAGAAATGGGGTACAGGCCAGAGGTGCGGAGGGTAAGAGCATTCACCAGAGACAGAGTGGGGAACAGAACAGGCAGACTGACTGAAATACACTGCTGAGGGGAGCAGTGGGCGAGACAGGAGAGGTCTGCTGCGCCATGTGGGTAGCTCCCTGGCCGGGGATAGAACTTGTGCTGCAGAGGCTGTGGACAGCTTCACAGTGCTGTGCTTAAGCCCTTGTGCCACGAGGGAGGCTCTCTGTAGCACCTTTAACATGGAATCAAGATTGAGGTAAAATTATTGTTGCTCAACCTATTCCCACTTCTCATACAACCTACTTTATTTATTTATTTAAGATTTACTTATTTATGCTTACAGGAACTGGGGTGTAAGCCAGAGGTGCAGGGGGTGAGAGGATCTCACCAGAGAGATTAGAGAGCAGAACAGGCAGATCTACTGAAATACACTGCTGAGGGGAGCAGTGCGTGAGACAGGAGAGGTCTGCTGCACTATGTGGGTCACCTCTCTGGCCAGGGATCAAACTCATGCTGCAGTGTCTGGCGATAACTTGATAGCTCTGTCTTCAACCCCTGTGCTACCAGGAAGGTCCTCCTACAACTGACTTTATTCTAGTATCAAGGATGTTTATTCCTGCACACTTAGAGTTGTGTCCTGGTTCCAATGTGACTTTTCTAATCTCACCTCACTTCTTGGAAAACAATCAATAATTAATTAAGCACTCGTATCTTCTGGAGCACAAGTTTTTATGATAGACAGAATTTTATCAAAATTCTGGCACTAACCTCTAAACCCTTATAATGTCCTGCCATATTAAAGTGCTTTTATTTAAATGGGAGCCTTGGGCCATGCAGCGTGGTCTAAGCTAACAATGTGATTGATGGTGGGGTCTTGGGCCATTATTGGGTATCATTTTAATCTCTAAAGGATCTAAAGATTAAGGTTAGTGATATGAGCAGTTAATATCTATGTGATCATAGGGGTTCTTCATTGTCTCCATTTTTGCTGAGCTCCCCCATCACTAAAGCATCTGCCACAATTATATTCCAAAAATACTAGGCTATCTGTTCAGATTTTGCAAAGTATATTCATAAACACTTGTACAACTTTCTGCTATCACCCATCTCCAGCTTATAAAACACGAGTCTAGGATCATTGATGGAAGAATTTCATCAAATGAAAGACTTTCTTTGGAGAAATTCTTAAAATTCTATCACTTATTTTTCTCATACCTTTTCCTAAAAGATGGGAAGGAGAGTTCGCCCTCATCTTTAGGCTGGTGAGATTGCCTTCAAAGTGATCACATGGAGAGTTCGATGGGTGATCCACAGAGTTTAGTGGAAGGGATAGTGAAAGGGATAGGATAGTGGAGGACTAGATCCAAAAGTAAGAGATGGTGCAGAATATTAATCAATTAGATAATCTGAAGAGGTCTGTGCACAATCACTTCCAAAGAAAGGGTGAATGGCCCATGCCAAGAGTTGACCGCATGCATGAAAGAGTAGAGATGAGCCAGGGCTATTTGTACATTATATAGGGGTCAGGTGGGGAACATCTGGGATACAGCGGTAGAGAACAGAAACACAGAATCTGGGCCTCCCCGGTGGCGCAGCGGTTGAGCGCTGGGTTGCGAAGCTGCCCGCAGCCTCTGCAGCGCCGGTTCGATCCCCGGCTGCTCCCTGGCCACCGGAGGAGGGTCCCACATGGCGCGCAGACCTCTCCTGCCGCCCGCTGCTCCCCTCAGCAGTGTACTTCGGTCCTACTGCCTGCTCTGCTCCCCACTCTGGCTCTGGTGAATTCTCTCACCCTCCCGCGCTTCTGACTGTACCCAGTGCTTGTATAAATAAATAAATAAATCTTTAAAAAAAAAAAATGAAATTAAAAAAAAAAAAAAAGAAACACAGAATCTACCCTGCAAGATAGATAATATAGCAAAAGAGACAAACTGAAAATTAAAAGAAAAAAATTGGAAAAGAAAAACTTGCTGAATTTACCCATATTTTTTCTAATCATATTGTAATAATAATGTTCTAATAATGTTTCCCTATTCTAAAATTTCTAAAATTTGAAGTTTCTAAATCTTGGTTTTTATTTATATTTTCTTTTTCTTTACATGGTTTTATGGTTTTTATTTATTTATTTATTTTTAATATTTTATCTTATAAAATTCTTACATCATTTTTCATCTTTGCACAAAGTATGCATTTGCATTTTGGTTATATTCCCCATACAATTGCACCCCCCCTTATTTTGACTCTTTGTTTATATTTTCCGTCTCCCCCCCTAAGTTCCTGTATTTTTCTTTTGTTTCAAGCATGTTTGTATACTTTCTTGCTAAAGCATTTTTATTGTGGCTGCTTTAATAACTTTTTTTATCTAACATCTTTGTGATTTCAATGTTGGCATCTATTGATTTTTTTAATTAATTTGAGATCTTTTGATACTTACTAGAATAAGAGGTTATCATATACTTTAACCCAGAAGTTTCCTCAGGCCACCTCCAATTCCAGTGATTCACTAGAACTCACCAAACTCCATTTTTATGGTCATGCAGCAGCTCACAATATGATTTATTATAGAGAAAAAATGCAGATAAAAATGAGTAACAAGAAAAGCTGGATAAGTCAGGGTCCAGGAGAGACAAGTCATGGAGCTTCCAACTGATTTCTCCCAGCAGATTTGTGTGACCTATGACAACACATAGGGTTTTACCAAGCTGACCTACGCCATGATATCAGAATTTTCACTGAATTTTGATCACAGATATTAACTGCTCATATCACTAACCTTAATCTTTAGATCCTTTAGAGATTAAAATGATACCACATATGGCTCAAGTCCCCACCATAAATCACATTGTTAGCCTAGACCACGCTGCATGGCCCAAGGCTCCCATTTAAATAAAAGCACTTTAATCTGGCAGGACATTACAAGGGTTTAGAGGTTAGCTCCCAGGAGCCAGCGGCAAAACGCAAAACATTTTTGTTGCAAAGTTAATCCTTTACTTCACAGTACAAAACCTTAACTTTTCCATTATCTTGTGAGAACACGCACTTACTTAAACCTCAGCTTTGCTTCTCTTCCCCTGACACTGATCCAGCAGAAGGAAGGGAGAGGCTGCTATGATTGTCAGTTTTCATTGACACACTGGGGGTGGAGGGGAGATAGTTCTGGTACTGTTTGGTGAGGAAGGGACTCTGGCCCCCTACGAGGTCCTCACTGACACCAATTGACTGTGACCTCATAATTGCTGGGTGACTTTGAAATCCTGCCTCTCCACAAGACTTCTGATGCCACCCCATTAGGGAGGTGAGTCAGTGTCTCACCGTTGCCAGTAGGATGAACTTCCAGACTCCCTAAGTCCTCTAATACCATGAAGGGGAATTGCTAGCAGTGGATGGAGATGAAAGTCGAGGCTCCTTGCTCACCCTTCTCTGACGTCACTTTACAAGAGCTTGGACCATTCATCCCACTTCAAGGGCACACACTTCACCTTCGCCTGCACGGATGAGTATGAAACCACTTTTCAGTGGTGTTTGACTGCGGTAGAGAAGATTGTCTGTAATTTTGCTTGTTTCCTAGGCTGTCTTTTTTTTTTTTTTTTTTTTTTTTTGCTCCTTTGGCTAGAGCAAGATCAAGCTTCTGTTAGGGATTTCTCTTTCCTGTACCTTTGGCATTTCTGGGTTGCTGACTTCTTTATCTTCAAGGCAAAAAGCAAACTCAGGGAACTTACTATTCCTTAAACCCCAGGGTTCCTAGCCTGTCTCTCATTTCGTTTATCTTCCAGGGCTTTCTTATATTTGTTTCATCTATAGAGCCCAGGTCTTTTGCTGTACTTAGTGGGAGAAATAGGAAAAAGTAGATCTATTCCATCTTCCCTTAAGTGGAAATCCTCTAGGACATAATTTGAAACTGAAAAGTGCTGAGAGAAATTCTTAAGGACTCAAAACCAACCATAAACAATGTGAGAAGCTATAATTTGTGTGACTGATGATAATCAATGATAAATGAACAAGGGATTGTCCAAATAGAAAAAGAAAGCTCTCAAAGTATGTAACTGGAGAACTGGAGGATTGATTCAAACACTGTATGTCTGCCGGGCTGATGATAATTCTGGAGAAAGCTGAGCATGTATTTGTGAACTTGAAGATTAATATAGTGAAAATTTTACAGTTTCAAAGTCTTTTCAAATGGGAAAGTGTTTTGGTCAACTGATAACTGTGGAATTCACTCAGGCAAGGGATGCCTGCTTCAGTGGATTTCCAGTTTATAAATTGGTCTGTTTTTTAAAATGCAGGCTCATAGAAATGTACCAGAAGAAAGAAAACAACACACCAAATCAGAGTTTCATCAGAAAGTGCCAAGTTGTTCCAAGGAACAGAACAACTAAGTTGATGGAAGCGGTTATTTACAAATCCATGCAAAGGTCTGAGGACACCAGTCTCAGGAAAAGCACAGCTGGATTTCAGGACTCAGTTGAAGGTTGGATTTTGCTTCCTAATCCAACTATACACTCTGTTTTTTTAATTGGTGAGTTCAGTCCATTAACATTTAGAATGATTATTGACATGTAAATATCGGTCAGTGTCATTTCCTGTCCAGCTTTGTGGTTCTATTTAATTTCTTATTCAGTTCTTCGTGTTTGTTCTTCTCTTTGATTCAGATCCTAAAGCCTTTTTTAATATTTTTTGGAGGGGAGGGTTTAGTGAATGCAAACTCCCTAAATAGATTAGTGAGACAAAAAATAAATAAAGATGCAATTGCCATAAACAAAGAATTAGATCCTACAAGTCTAATAGACATTTTCAGAGCATCACACCCAAAAAAAAGCACCAAACATAGCAAGTGTCTTCTCTGACCATAAACATATTGAACTGCAAATCAACTGCAAAAAGAAAACAAGGAAAAACATTAATACATAGAGACTAAACAATACACTCAGTTAATGAGGAAGTCAAAGAAGGTATTTAAAAATACCTCAAGACAAATGATAATGAAGAAACAAATTTTCAGAATGTATGGGACACAGCAAAAGCAGTTCAATGACGAACTTATACAGCAATGCAGGCCCACATTCAGAAACTAGGAGAAGCTCAAACAACCATGTGTCTGTCTCATCTCAAGGAACTAGAAAATGAAGACCAAAAAAGCCAAAGCAATAGAAGGAAGGAAATAATAAAAATCAGAGCAGAACAAAATGAAATAGAAATGAAAATGACATTCAAAAAAGATCCATGGAACCAATAGCTGGTACTTTGAATTGTAGGACTCACAGACAGTGGAGACAGTGGGAATAGCAGGAGACAGTCGCTGATGATGTCAGCACCCTGCTACTTGAAATGGATGATTGGCTGGAGACTTCCTGTAAATGCCAGCAGTTCCTAACATTTGCTGCTTCCCACTAACACCTTACCTGTCAATTGCCCAGTTGCCACTGGAGAACTCCATATAGTTATTTACGGAAGGAAGGAAGAATTATAATTTTCAATATGGATCAATGAGATTATCTATCTATCTATCCATCCATTCATTTATCCATCCATATAGACTAGTTGAAATCTTATAAAGCAATGTTATTTCAATTAATGAAAAATGAAAGTCTCCTTTTCTTTATCTGCACAATGAAGCTATCTTGGGGGATGACGATTTAAGTAAGATAAATGATGTCAAATTCAGTATTTCCTCACTCAATGTATCAACAGGTTCTTGGAAAATAACATATGAAAAGCATTATTCCTGGACCAGTTGTTTCACACATGACATTTGGTTCTGGAGAAGTTCTCATTGAACAATAACTAGTACTTTCAACTCAGTGGTGCCAAGCTCAAGGGCAGGGTGGAAACGCTGGATTTAGAAGAAACAAAATAATATGAGAATAAATAACTGTGGGCAACTGGAAAACTGAGCAAGAGAGTGAATGGTCAATAAGAAAAGGGAACAAAGAAAATTCCTAAGAGCAGAACAAGGGAGAAGGGCCTGGAATGTTGAAGTCTGGTGTCAGGCATGAAGATGCATGGAAGGTTTTCTTTGGACCACTCATATGAGGGTTGCAAAAGAACAGACTATGCCCAAGAGAGACTTTGTCTACATAGCCATGTTGCTTGCAGCTGACCCTCACCCATATTCTTTGGGTCTCCAAGGCAGCACAGGTGGAAGTGACAAAGTAAAGGCATGAGAACTGCTATTTCCCAAGCAGAGATGTTGCTGACCACAGTTTCTGGTCCAGATGAATCTCTGCTCTCCCTTAGACATAAGTGTTGGTTCTGTTCAACACCATCATTCTGTTTGGGTTGACTACCTTGCAATTAGTCGAAGTGATTGTGCATTTATGTATAAAATGCATCTATTTCAAGGAAGATGGACAGATTTTTTTTCATTCGTTATTAGTCATCTTGTTATAACCTAAAAATCCATTATTCCAGGACTTTTATCAGTCCTGGTATAATGGAAAGTTGGTGTTTAATAACTTTTGTGATTATCATAAAATCAAATATGTCTGAACAGCTTCCCGAAGGTGAAAATCAGGTAAAGTTTGCCTTTGCTTAAGCACTTTTTAGTCTTCTGGAAAGATCGTTGAATTTTGTGCTTCAAATGCCCTCTCTTAGAAGGACGGTGCCCAAGGTCAAACAAGCCATTACTCTAGTTTAACATGGGTGACTGTGGAGATGAGCAGATTTGACACATTTAAATAAAACATTCTAATCGCATGTTCTGGCCTTGGAGGCCCCAGGCAGCAAACGTTGTATTTGTTAGACACCACGGCTTAATTACTCTCATAAATGAATTATACCAATTTCAATTTAAAACCATAAGTGTTACAGTTGAACTAGGGTCAAATTAAACTTTCTGTCAATTATGCAGATTACTTAAGCAATTATGTAAATTGTTAATAAATTCTTAAGTGATGAGGAATTTTTCTTGAAAAAATATCTGTTTTATACTATTGGGCTCGAACACTGGGAGAGCATGGGTACTCAGGAATAGGGAAAACTTAGCTCAAAATATTTGTCTTAGGAGTTCTCTTCAGGATCCAGCACTTGTGACAAATTTAGGTCTCTGACCACCTGACACCGGTTGGTTTTAGATGCAAGAATTTCTTAGTTTTATTTTGTGAAGATACACATTCTGTAGTATGCAGGACGGCGCCCAGAACAAAGTGTTGGGCTTGAAGAGGGAATGGTGGCAATATAAAACAAATCTCCTCTTGTCACTTCTGTGGTTGTTTTAAAATTCTTCACTCTTGTCACTTTTATTGTTGTTTTAATTTTTTTTTTTTAATTATCAGTGGACTGATAATGTAGCCACTCTTGCCTATTTCTTGGGTGGAGTTTGCAAACTGTCCTCTAGTTCTTAAGAGAGATCAACCAATAGGAATGCAGTGAGCTGACAAATGAGGCCCCAGTCCATCCCTGAGCCCCTCTCTTACCTTACTTTTTTTCATGCATTTGCTTCCACTTCTTTTTACCTCATGAACTTTTCACATCTTAACTGACACATTACCTTAAACCAAATCCACTCATCCAAACAAGCAAAGCCATTCTCTTTTCAGTGAAGGCAATAAATAACACCAAAACTTAGGCCAAAACGCCAACTCCATTCAATCAATTTTGGTTTCCAGGTTATAGAAGTAAATAATCTGAAGTCTTCGCTCGGCACAATGTTTACAAAGCATGGGGCCTCCCTGGTGGCGCAAGGGTTTAAGACACAAACTATGAAGCTTTTTGCAGCCTCTGCAGCAGGAGTCCAATCCCTGGCTGGCCAGGGAGCTACCCACATGGTGTGGCAGACCTCTCTTGACTCACCTGCTGTTCCCTTCAGGAGTGTATTTTGGTCAATCTGTCTCTGGTGAATCCGCTCACCCCCCCCACACACACACACCTTTGGCCTGTACCCCAGCTCTTATATCCATAAATAAATCTTTTTAAAAAAGGCTTGCAAAGGAAGTGCTTCTTTATTCTTTTATTTCTCAGTTGCTTTTTATGTAAAGTTGAATGCACTCTTTACCAAGATGAGACCTCAATATTTTTGTCTCCAATGCTAGAAAAATGGCTTTTTATTAGGTTGATTCTTTGTTTTTCTTGAGGTAACATTAGTCTACAACTCTGCATAGATTTTAGATGTACAGAGTCTCACCTCAGCAACTTGGTGTGTTGCCCCACATCCACCACCCAATATCTGGTCAGGATCTCCACTCAG